AAAACGACCCATTTAACAACCCTTACAGCAGAAATCATGACTAATATAGTGTGGTTAAGTAGGAAGAAGCAAAGTCCTTCATCATTCCTTGTGTTAGGACTATCAAAGCCATACTATCTTCAACCAACCCCTCACCTGTAGTGGGAAATTTAGAAGCAATTAGAAAATAAAGACTGAACAATGAATACAACTAGAAACACACAAGGATCACCTAACACAAATGTTGGTGGCCCAGGAAAGAGGAAGTATTTAGCTAAGTTCCAAACAGAAGTACCTCATGCAGGTGAAACAAAGCCCAAAGGTGAAGCAGGAGCATATCTGGAAACCATAAGAAGGCTCTGAATAGTTACTATATAGAAAGGGCAGGAAACAATGAAGGCCATAAGGCAAGAGGGGCATCAAGCACCAAAGAGTTCCACCACCTCTCATTAGGTAAAGTTGTAAAAAATCCAAACAAGGCACACCTGTGGAAAATGGAGCTGCATGCCCCACTCCCCCCAAAAAGGTGGGCATACTTTGCAAATGCCCATTTTACCTTTGATGAATAGAATATAAGCATGCAGGAAAAGAAATCATCCTACTCTGACTCTCCTTGGCTTCAGTATAAATTGTTGAACAGAGTGAGATGAGCAGAAAGCAACACAAAGAGCTAAGGATATAAAGTGTGCATTCGGAGAATCAAAACCCAACAACAAACCAACAACACAGCAGAGAAAACACTGGTCCCGCATGAATTCAAACCATATTCTTATTAGCCTACAAGTACTGTAATAGCATGCTGGTTAATATATAATAAATCTCTACTTCCCAGGGTAAGAAAAAGTCCTTTTTGAAAGCTTAGGTCAATTGAAAATACATGTGCATCTTTGCAAAAGTTTCTTCAATAATTTCTTAGCACCTAAAATATCAAAATCAGGGCACATAAATATATTATTCCTAATTTACTTTCCCAAGTAAAAATTGCATGTTTATATTAGAAACTACAACAGTATGACACTCGGTTATTAGAGCTGTTAATTTAAGAAATTAGTTAATATAAAAACTGAGTTTGGTTTGATTTTTCTGTAAAAATATAGATTTTTAGGTTTATAAAATACAAGTCAATTTTTCCTTTATATTCCACTATCTCAACAATTTATTTTCAGTTCTTTAAAAAAAAAATATACTACTTGTAAACCAGTAAAGGACTAAAATGCCCCAAATTAACAAAGTCTGTCTTAAGAATATGATGTAAATAACTTCCAACAAAAAGCTTCATGGTCTTGTTTCCTTTTGCTAGACTCATTTGCTATGGAAAATAAAAATCAAATTTTCTTGTCTCCAATTCACATGCTTCTAAAAAGTTCTATGAACTTTGTTCTGCCTTATTGCTGTCTCTGAAACCAAGCAATCGAATCAGCAAAGGGGGAGAAGCACAATTCTCTTAATTTCCTTACTCTTAACACAAAAAGCTGCTTTGTCAGCTGCCATGCAGGGGTTGTAATTGTAATTGCTGTAGCCTTCCAAAACTCTCCTCCCATGCCATGTCAACTATTCAGCAGGTGGCGGGGGAGGATAAGCTCAAGGCTTTAATAGGTGGTCAATAATATAATCATAAGGAACCAAAGATGACTTTAAGTGTGTAACAGGAAACATAGCTTTAATGTTTTCCTTCTTAAATTGATTTAGTCTGGGACAGGCCTTTTCCATTGTTTACACAAGGAGCAGCTCATGCTGAACCATTTACTGCTCGTTGCTGAATAGGCATATCTTGGGAATTCAATGTAAAGTAACAAAGTTCATTCACTTATAGCTCAATTGAGATCTACAAAACAAGCCAGAAAATAAGAATATAAAACCAAGTACAACCTTTGTGTTTTGAATAAATTAAATGTCTACATATTTATCATGAAGTCTCCAGAAATGACAGTAACTTGGAAAGTAAGTATGGCAGGAGATAAAATGGCTGACTGTCACAGACAAACCAACACTGAGTCTCAGATCAGTAATTCAGGACAGGACTCTCTTTAGCTGCAGAAGAAGCACCTGAGAAGACTGGAGGAAATGTTAGACTCCCAAATGGACAATCTGACTCAGCAGGTCTCCACTAGGATTCAGGTAAACCTCTCCACCCCCCTTTCCTGAATGTATGCATATGGGAGCTTTAAAAATATTGATTGCTGTAAGTTAATTTTTCAACTTCTTTCTATATTGAGAAAAAAAATCTAATGGATGCATTTATAAAGACAAATTACAACTGAATTAACTGGACCATAAGCAGTCCAGGAGTTCAAAGTTGCAATAAAACATTGTAATACAGACAATTCCTTTCCTATCTTCCTATTATTCATTTTATTAATATGTTTCTCTGTATCATTTAAATTTTGTTCTCTTTAATTACATACTTTCATTTCATATTGATTCTACTATAAAAACTCTAAAGCATTTGCAGTGAAAACATACATAATTACATTGGTGATGATACTAATAACATCACCTGCTGATGAATCACAAGCATTGCTAGGGAGATCACCATCCACACGGTTACACGTACACTCTACTTTATAATGTTAATACGTTAGGGAGGAGATATCTTCAACAAAGCCATGCCTTGACTATAAACTTAGTCTTCTGTTTCCTATATTCTATATATAATAATATTAGAAACGATACTTTTAAAAGTATAATATTTCATTGAAATACTATAAACTTCAGGCTTCAAGCTAAACTAAATAAAGACAGCAACACCAAGACAAGAACTGATCTAAATAAATAAAAAAAAAATTGGAAGGAAAACCACTTAGATTTAGCATTCAACAACCCAAGTCCTTTAAAAATGAAATTGCATTAATTTATAATCAATGGGAAATTCCAAATCCACAAACATCACAATATTGGTCATGAAGAACATGAAGCAAGAGTTTCTCAAATTGATATACCTTATTTATTAAGCTGGTATTTTTTTCAATAACAAAACAATAAGAGAGAATGCAGAGATGAAGAAATTTTTTTTCTTTTAACAGCATCATCTTATCTCCAGCCTCAAAAGGACTCTAAGCGTTTTTACGATTATTTCAGTCTTAGCTTAGAAAAATGCATTTAGATTCTCAGGGTCTAATAGATAAAGGTGGAGTTTACAGGGTGAGCTGAGGTTGTGCTGACCTCCTTGTCTGTGTGGATGAGTGACGCTGGAGAATTTTTAAATCAGGTTCATATTAATGTTAGAGGAAGAGCATACTAAATGCTTTAGATTCTTGGTGGTGGGCTGTGTAATCTTAAATTGCAGCTGGAATTTTACTTGATATTATGATAACACAGTGAGCAAATTCAGATGGAATAAAGGTTACATGAACTTATTCACAAGAAACAAGTATAATACATCTACCAATTCTTGCTGAATACTAATTTGGAGTACAATCATCATTATTATAATAGTTGAATATTTTAAAATAATTCCTTAATCTGACTATGGGGTTAGGGTTAGGATTAAAATCCTTTCTCCAGTTCTGTCAATAACATGGACAAACCAAAAAATGAGGGTATTTTGTATATAACAATGAAAATATCAATAAATACAAAATAACATCATAAAATCACTTTGATCTGATCTACCCAAAAGATTTGGAACAGTTAGAAATGACCAGTTATACTCCAAAAGCCCTCAGGCCTTTTCCATTCACATAGATAAAAGATAAGACCATAATAAATACACAGCTGAGACCTGATTATTGAATAACCAAATACCTACATGACATTTTATGCTAATAAATGGCATATACATCATCCTTAATGATAGTTGCATAAAATTTCCCCACATGGACATTATGGTATAAAGTCACTGTTTAAAATTAAGCATGAATATTGTTTAAGTCAGTGCAATTATATATAATTTATAATCTTTCTTATATGGCCCCAAATAAGCCATACTAAATACAAGGCAGCTTATCACTTAATGTTCTTTAATATGTGCTCTAAAAATAAACAAGCAAAATAATTATCGCACTGTTTCATTAAAGGCATCACTACAGTGTGGATACAAATGTCTCCACACACTCATATTTCAAAGCTTGATTTGCAACTGGTGGTGTAGTTTTGGAAGGCTGCAGACCTATAGGGTGCTGAGGTCTAGCTGGAGGAAGTGGGTCACTGGTTTGGGTTTTGTTTCCTGACCTCTGCTGTCTGATTTGCAGAGGTGTGAACAAATAGCCTCACACTCCTGCCACCACAGCAGGAGCTCTTTTTGACAGCCAAGCTTTGCTTCCTGGTATACCAAGATTTAGGCCAGCATTTCCATAGTTCTTCCAGCAGAGGTTTGAGCTGCCATGGCTTATAGGTATTTTACCGGCTTAACATAGTCTCAAACCTTAAGCCCAGAGAAATGTTCCTCAACCTGTGTTGCTTTTTGTCAAGTATTTTGTAACAATAGTAAAAGCAGTAATTAATCTACAGCATGAAGGAATATTTTGAACTTTATATATACTTATAAAAGACTATGGGGAAAAATGCTGATCTACAAACCAGGTCTACGAGGTCAACTGACAAGACCTACAGAACATGTGAGTGTCTCTAGAAGAATAAGTAAGAACTGGCAGTTCCAACAGAGTCATCTCTTCCAGCCACTAAGATCATAGTCACTAAGAAAATTACTTGATTATAAAAAATAAATATATTATTGAAAATGAGAGATGGCAATTTAACATAAAACTATCCTTAATTACAATAATGCTGCTACGTATAGTTACAGACCCCATACATTAAAGATGTTTAAACTTTAATAACCTGGACCACACCAGGGTTACAATTGGTAGCAGAACACTGATCATCATACAGAAGCCATCAAACACATGAAAGGAATTACAGTACATCACACATCAAACACTCTGGCCTAGGGCTTCCTTCCTCTAATCGTACTGGCAGGAAATGGTCTACATAGCCTTTGAGGTGACTGGACACATTTAAAAGAAGTCCCTTGTTTAAAAAAAAGCTCCTGGATGCTGCAGTTTTCACCAGAGGGAGAGTACCTTCTGCTCAGGACCACTGTGCCACATTCAGTTGAAGCTGTGCCCTGGAACCACAGTGAAGAGGTACTGTAACTGCACAAAACCATTTATTCTCCAAAGACTTACAAGACTGAATAACTCATGAAAATTGTGTTTTCATATTGTGTATGCTATAGCAGGCAAATTCATCCAAAATTGAAAAGATACAACAATTCTATTGTAGATTAATATGAATAAAGCTAAATATTACATTATTTTAAAATATATCATCTTATGAATCACTTTTTTTTTTTTTACCTGAACCTGAATTATATTTTCAGTATAAGAATAAACTTCAGAAAATGTCTTTCTCAGATAACCATACTTGAACCAGGACAGTATACAAATGATTCTGGTGTACTGTTAGGTTTTTTGTTTGTTTTTGAAGAATACTACATTTCTGAAGATGAATTTTCAAATAAGATAATTGGAATTAGACAGAATACAAATCCAGATAAAACCCAGGCGAATACTTGATATGATATAAACTAGGAATGTATACACACACACACACATTCCACAATTTAAGTATGTTTATAACATAACAACACTGTTTACCAGAATGAAAGCAAATTTAAAAAATTATCTCTGAACATTTCATTGATGTCTCTTCTGCCACTAAACTGAGCAAATGATGCTACAATTCTGTAACTCTATGTATTTGTTTATTTTTCCTAGATTTGGGGAAATTCCAAGTTTGGTGGTACTATACCTCAGTTTTATCAGGTGTTCATTTAAATCACCTGAAGATACTGAGGTTATGTTTCACTGAACATAAACTTCATGGATTCTATTCAGAACTCAAAATGACTGAGGGTGTACTCAATGCAAAGATAATGCTGTCCACACTACATCTGACAAGCTGACCTAGGACAGGCATTTCTTTCACTGTTGTGCCAGTTTATCAAACCCATACCTGAATGACAGGCAATTCAATGAAAAGAAAAAAACTCCCAAAATTCAAAGCATTATTTCCTGTAGAGAAGCTTCAACCTCTCTGTCTAATCTCTAAATACCAAGTACGTATGTATATGGCAATTTTCACTAAATAACTGAAGCAATAAATAAGATGGATAGAAACTGGCTCTAATTGTTATAGCCACAGTTATTAAGGTTTACTGATGTACTACGAGATTTGTATGAAAATACCACAGAGGATAAATATTTATTACTTGATATTAAAATATGAGGAATTTGTATTAGAAAAGTCATTGACTTATATTTTTTTATTTATTGTGTTGCTTTGGTTCAGAATCTATGACAAGAAAATTTATAGGTGACAAACAAAGGTTAAGAAAAAGTATTCAAAAATTAAGAAGTGAAATTAGCATTTAGGGTTTTTTTT